AAAAAAAAAAAAGTTACGAAGATGTAACCTTTATATAAGAAATTTTTTTTCTCTCATTGATAAAGATTTTTTTATATATCGCAATAATATCAGATCGGATTATTTTAAAAAAAATTTATTATATATATGATATATAAGAATTTCTAAATAAAGATTAATACATAAACCTAAAAATACATGCCGTTATGCTTAAAGCTTATTTTGTACTTACTTAAATTGTGATCAGTGCAATTTTTTTTTTAGAGTTTAGCTTAAAAACGTAATACGGTAAATTCTATTTTTAATCATAAATGATGATTCAATTTTATAAATGTGGATTATATGATATATAATTGGAAATTATGGATCATTCCAAAGAATTACCAAATTTCTTGTCAAGGTTATATATAAAATCCGTAAAAATCTCCATTGTGTTCTGATTGTCTTCCAAAATAAAAATATGGTCGGAATTTGTCTTTTTTTAATGACCGGAAAAAAAAAGATGATTTTTTTTTTTTTAAAAAAAAAGAAATTTCATTATCTGTTTATCCTTATTTTTAGAAAAAATAAATAAATTTATGTTTTTTTTTCATGTTATGCAAAATTGAGTAAGAATCATCGTTTCACATATTCATTAATCTCTCCCTTTTTTTATAGTTCTTATATAGATATCATTTGGAAATTTAGAAATTCTATTTGTAACTTGTAAGCCACTTGGAATATTTTTCTTTATCGTGAGAACGGAAGAGAACGGAGACATTCTCCATAATAAGTAATTATCATATTAAATATTTTATGTAACGTATTACCCTTGCCTTTCGGCGAGAATTCTCTCGAAATATCGCGTTTGATTTAGTTACAGTATGATATTTGCGTAAAATTTACATAATTCTACTTATAAAAAAATAAGTTTGATTAAAGAATAAATTTTGTTACCCGAACTTTCTTGATTTCTTGTATGACAAATAATAAACAATAATGTACAGTACGGCTCCGGATGAGAAAAACATTTAATTAATTAAATCAGAATATCTTTTTTTTTTTTTAGAATGTAAAAATAAAAAAAAAATTGATTTTAAAAAAAATTGATTTAGTAAATATTTATTTTATTTTTACCAAAGAAAGTAATGACCGAATTTTATGAATGAATAATATTTTTGTCATTGTAGAGGACGGGAAGAGGAATTTATCAATGTCGTTTTTTTTTAAAAAAAAAAATCTTTATTGGTAACACAACATTTGATATTAATATAATTTCTAGATTATTTATCTATATATTATCTATTCATTAATCATTTTTATTTTGTTACATAAAAACTTAAACTTATTGTTCGGGGTGTTGCAGCATAAAAAAGATACGGTTATTGGCGTTAGGGAATGTGATGAGTATTTGATGACATGAATTGCATGAATAGCATTGAAATAATGAATAGCATAAATATCGTAAAATAGCGTAAAATAGCGTAAAAGACTCACATAGCATAAATAATGTAAATAATGCAATATATAATGTCACCGCATTAATTGTCACGTTTTATTTGACACCTGTATTGTGTATGGTGTGACACAAATAGCTTGTCAATGAAAATAACGGAGATAAATTTAACTCGCATCAAATAATATTTCATTGAAGTGATTACTACTAGGATAGGTAAAAATAATGGAAAGTTCCTATATGAACACCAAATCATGTAATATACATAATACATACAGTTTATAGTGTATATATTTTATACTTAATTAAGCAATCATAATATCTAATATAAGAATAAAAAAAGGTTATTTACATGTTACGATGCACTGCAATAAGTTGAGTTAAAATTCAGGTGATCGAAAGTTGCAATCAATTGCCATCCTCAAGATTAAAAACATTTGAGTTTTTGGATTATTGAAAATTGTATAATTCAAAACCAAATTTATATACGTATCTTTTTTTATTAAAGATTTTTCTTTAACTACTGTATTAGGATTTAAATTAATTGGTAGATGTCGGACAAAAGATGATGCATTTAAAATGAATGCTTTATTTGATACATTTATTGATAATTTATACTTTAATAATAATTATAAAGAAAAGATATTAAAAATAATTGGATGTATAAAGAGTGGTGACATGCAATTTATTGATGCCAGATGATTTTCAAATAAATGATGGACAATTCTTTCGATTAAATTATTCTGGAAAACACAGTATGGACGCTTATATGAAATAACTTTAAATATGCGAAAATTGAAAATCATTGATTTTAGGTTAGTCATTACATTCAATGCACAATCTGAATGATATCACTTTAGTGTAATATTTAAAATTTTAATAGCAAGATTTTTTTTTTCGTGCGGCGAAAAGAATCAGCTTGAATTTTATATCCTTGTTTGATAAAAAATATGGAATTTCCTATCTATCATCATATCGAGAAGTGATAAAACAATCTTTTTTGCATTTTTTTTTACTAATAATTATGACAAAACTGTTATTTGATAAACAAAATAAATCAATTTGAATTAGTTTAAATTCTTTTCAATATTCTACTTCTACAAAATTCACACACTTATTCAAATATATACTTGTAACAAACTAAGACCAGCATGATTACTTTGAAATATATGAGAAATTGTTATGTGGAATTAAATTATTAATAGCTTGTATGTAATATACAGTATTTGGTATATATTCTTTAAATAATACAATAAGAATGACTGAATGTGAACCAAGAATGACCATTATTTGTCAATATTGTACTTTAAATAATGACTAATATGATTTATTTTCTTTTTCTATGCTTCATCTAACCAAAGTGTGGTTTGTCATATCTACTTTAATGATGATAATTCAACTGAAAACGGATCAGATGATTAATTCCAATATAATATTAGAGTTCAGCTCTTTATTAGTAATTTTTATTTATTTATTTCAAGAAGATTATACAGAATTATTATTTCACATCTTTGTTATATATACTTTATATTTTTATTTTAAGAAAGATGTAATTGAGATGCAATTCTTCCGCTCTAGACTTTAGTATAAAGGCCGTTCAAACTTTGCAGTGATTGCTTCAAATATCAATGTGGTTCCTGACTAAGTAATTATTGACTTGGAATATTTCATAGGTGTAGTTCAATAGCAGAAAATGACAATGAATCATTTTCTTGTGAATCGTTGTCTTTATCATCTTTCATGTTTTGGTTAAAGCACATTTTTTGAAAGAAATCTCAAATTTGTTCTCTTAAAAAACTAGGATATATTCAATAAATCTGTCAGACCATTTTTTTATTCACATGCTAAAATTTCATTTCACTTTCCCTTTTTCGTTCTAACTGATGATTTCGATATGGCATTGACACGAAGTCACGAAGCTTCAGAATACAATACAAATGTACAGACAATTTTTATTACGCGAAAAGCATTTACGTGTCCAAAGGAGTTACTGTGCCACATTATTACATTATTATTATTTATCATTTTAAAATAAGGACAAGATCGTCATAAAATATGAATCATGGCTCAAATATTGCAAATATCACATTATCTTTTTATTAAACTACAATTTAAAGGCTTTTTTTTTTCTTAATCAAGATTATGTAAGAAATCATATTATAAGCATAAATATTATTAATGAACTTTACTGAAAACCCCTTTTATTTGAAGATTTTACCATCCGCGTATTTTTTGCCATCGAGATGACCATCCCAAGCCTATATATAATCAAAGATTATAGTAAGGTTATTTAATAAAGAAATATGATAATAATAATAATAATAATAATAATAATAATAATAATAATTATAACAATAAGCTTACAATATAATCCTCGAAACTTGATTTGACAGAAGGATCTGTGTGATCTACCTTATTGAAAGTATAACTTTCAAAATCCGCGGCATCATACACTAAAATAAACAATTAAGGATTTATTAATCAAAACATTTATTGATTTGAAAATAAAAGCATATTAACCTTCTTCAGGTACTTCTTGACCACGAATCACAAAGTAGCCAGCAATTGAATTCGCGTTGTCTACATAATTAAAAGAAAAAAATTTAATACTTTGAGACCTTATACGCATGTTATACGCATGAATAAAAGTTTCGATAAATTGATGCTTACCCTCGCCTAATACAACTAAACTTCCAAATGCATATTTCCGAGCTCTCTCCAATCGGTTGAAAAATCCACCAATGAGATTGGAACTCATAAACACTTTGGTTAATTCATCGTTATATTTATAATCCACGCGCCAAATAGAATAACCCTCTGGGTCAAAATTTTCCCAAAACCAATTGATGGCTGTCGGACGAGTGTCATTATTGGAATAAACTCTTTTCCATTCCTCTAAATTAAGTGAACTGGGAGGCAATGAATCTAGCTTGCTCTTAGGTTTAGGTGCAGGTTTTTCTTCCTCTTCATCCACATCAACTACATCAACTGCTTTAGGTTTTGCTTCTTTTTCTTTCTTGGGTTGTTCTTTCTTTTCCTTTTTCGGTGCTATTTGTTTTATATAAAAAGGAATCTTTAAAAACGAGATAATAATAAGAGAGAAGTTTAAAGTATAACATACGAGTATATTCAACGGCAACATCTGCAAGGGTTATGTCGCCCAAAACCTTCTTGAAAGAAGGTTGATTAATAAGTGTAGTATACCATCGAGTAAGATTCGGATGTCCCTTGCGATATCCTGCGTCTAAAACCAGCTTGAAAGGCAAATAAAGAGAAGTTGAAACTGCAACATCAGCTAATGTGATTCTTTCCCCGACCAAATAAGTTCTGTTTAACAAAATTTTTTCCAAAATATCCAGGGATTTCTTCAAACCAGCTACTGCTTGGTTATGAGCCTTTATGAACGAAAAACAGATTATTAGCAATAAGGATTTTATTTATTTATGTTAAAAAAAGGAGTATAATTACAGGTTTATTATATGGAGTTATTCCTAAAATTGGGTTAACCCAAGTATTGGCATGAGGAGTAATTTCATTTTCGGCGAAAAGAATATAATGTAAAACTTGCGCCCTCTCTTTACTGTTCGTTCCCAATAGGTGGGTACCTTCTTTATAATTAGCAACTATATTTTATTCAAATATATATCGTTAGTATTAACACAGAACTCAATAGTATAATAATATTTAAAATTAATATGTTTGCTTGCTTTCAGAAAAACTAAATTCGATCATATGAAATTTCAGCCAGGGATAACTGTTTTAAAATATTCTCATCATATAGAGCAAGTGTTCATTTATCATGAAAATTCATTTTAATTGTCAAAATTGTCTCAAAATTCCTTCATAAAAATATATATTTAATTAAATAATTGTGGTAATAAGTTCTATGCTTACCATAATACGCAATAGCACCGGACTCATTAAGATAGACATCTCCCTGAGTACTTTCAAAAGCGGGGACCTGTAATTTAAAGATTATACGCGTTAGTTCTTTCTGTATAATATGTTATTTGTAACGCGTAACCGTCATGAATAAGGTAAAATCAATTCACATGATCACTTTACATAAAATTTTTTTGATTTGACAAAAAATTAAAAAACAATATATTCAATTCAATAATTTATTCAAACTTACTTTTTCATTATGGAATTTTTCCAAGTGTTCGGGTTTTTTATTATCTTTACCGATTTCAAATTCGGCAATCTCTACTTCAAGTTCATTATAATGTGCGGCAATAAGAATCTTGAAGACACGAGGATTGTTAGGATAACAATAGATTTTCTAAATATATAGAAAATAAGTTATAAAAATAAAGTAAAGGTTAATATTTTATCCTGTTCTAAATTTACTACAAATTCTTATTATTATTTCGGTATTTCGGAATCTATTAACATAATTGAATTTATGACTCGCATTATTGATGCAAAGTTTTTAATATTGCTTGCTCACACAGCATATAATTTTTCTTTTTAGCGACTGTACAATCGGGACTCCCTACAAAAACCCAGTAAAACTTTTCAAATTACTTACGCCAATAGGTGACATTTCTCCGAATTATATTACAAATATCAAAGATCAAGAAAAAAATTTTTAACCGCAAAAATTAGATCAAAATTTCCCTACGTAAAAAAAAACCAGGCGTCCAATCATATATTTGCGAATTATGATTTTTTATTGGGCGGTTGGAACGTGTTCGGGGCACGTTTTAGATACTATTTAGATATTATTTAGATAATTATTTAATTATTTAGATCTGTACATAAAAAAAAAAAAATCTTTTTTTTTGAGAAAAGTTTTTTTCGCTGTAATTTTTTTTTACATAATTTACATATTAAAATAATACTAAAATGACCTCTGTTCGTGAAGTTGATACTTGGGTATGACATTATATTGTATTATTAAAAGTTTGATTTGTTTGTAAATTTGCATACTAAACTTTGCTATATCATATTTTAGAATAATTGCCTTAATGCTCCCTTGCAAGAAGATGACAAAGAAATTTATGATTTAATTCAAAAAGAGAAATATAGACAATTCTCTGGCTTAGAGCTAATTGCTTCGGAGGTATAAACTAATGAAAATTTTTTTTTATGTTTATGATAAGGAAAAATATAATATGAAATAATCTATCAAATCTAATTATCACAGAACTTTACATCCTTGGCGGTTATGGAAGCTAATGGGTCTCCGTTGACAAATAAGTATTCTGAAGGTCTTCCTGGGGCTCGTTATTATGGTGGCAATGAATTCATTGATCAAGTCGAAAATGTTTGTCGTAAACGTGCTTTGCAAGCTTTTCGTTTAAATCCCGAGGAATGGGGCGTTAATGTTCAATCTTATTCTGGAAGTACTGCCAATTTTTCGGCATTAACGGCATTGATCCAGCCTCACGATCGTTTGATGGGATTAGATTTGCCCTCGGGCGGACACTTAACTCATGGTTGGCAAACTTCCAAGAAAAAGATTTCTTCTTCTTCTATATATTTTGAATCCATGCCATATCAAGTCAATCCAGAAACTGGACTTATTGATTATGATCGCCTTGAAGAAAATTCTAATCTCTTTCGTCCAAAATTAATTATATGTGGAGCTAGTGCGTACGCACGTGACTGGGAATACGCTAAGCTTAGGAAGATCGCCGATAAACATGGCGCGTATTTAATGGCTGATATTGCTCATATCAGTGGCTTAGTTGCTGGCCAAGAAGCCAATAATCCCTTTGAACTATGTGATGTAGTTACAACTACTACTCATAAAACTTTGAGGGGTCCGCGTGCTGGATTGATCTTTTTCCGAAAAAAGGACGAACTAGAAAATCGTGTAAATAATGCCGTGTTTCCTTCATGTCAAGGAGGACCTCATAACAATACTATTGCCGCAGTTGCAGTTGCGCTTAAGCATGCAGCTTCTCCGGAATTCAAACAATATGCTAAACAGGTACGTGCCAATGCTAAAGCTTTAGGTGAAGCTCTTGTCAATTATGAGTATAAATTAGTTACTGGTGGTACGGACAATCATTTGATTCTCTGGGACCTGAGACCACTTAAACTTACTGGCAGTAAGGTAGAAAAAATTTGCGATATGGTTAAGTACGTATATCGAAATATATAATATTTTTTTTTTTTAAAAAAAAAAAAAAAAAAATTTTTAACTTGTAATTATTATTTTAGCATTACTGTGAATAAAAATTCTATTCCTGGCGATGTTAACATGTTGGCACCAGGTGGTGTACGTATTGGTACTTCTGCATTGACATCAAGAAGTTTCAGGGAGCAGGATTTTGTTAAAGTTGCAGAGTATTTGCATCGTGCTGTTCAAATTGCCCTTTCAGTTCAAGTAAGTTCAACTCTCTTCCTCTACCTTGAATGTGTTTTGTACTTAATAAGCATAGATACATTTATGTTTCCTCCCTTTTTTTTTAAAAAAAAAGGAAAAAGCAGGCAGCAAAATGATGAAAGACTTTGTAATGGCATGTCAAGATAATGATGACATAGCAAATCTGAAAAAGGAAGTTGAAACTTTTTCTACATCTTTCCCAATGCCAGGTACTATTTATTTATTTTTGAATTTATTAAATATATTAAAACAGCATTACTAATATCAGTTTTATAGGATTCGATCCAAGCAATTTGACTAATTCAACTTCGTCCGAATAATTATCATAAAATGATGTTGTAGACTGGTTTATTATATATACACTAATTTATAAACTTCACAAAAGTATTAGTCCGTTTATATAATGTAAAATAAATGATTATTTTTGAACATTTGAAAAATTGTAAAAAAAGGATAAACTATTTTAATTATTAGTATAAATCATTTTATTGATTATTTAGAAATCGTCAATTTTGTCGCTGTATACGAGAAGAGTATTTATATTTTTCTAATTTGTTCTCTTCGAATAAAAAACAATACAATTATGTAAAACTAAACTATGTAAAATTACTCAATAAAGCAAATTACGCAATACTGTATCTCTAGAATATTACAGTATTTCAAGATTGTTCCAGATGTTGATAAGATTCCTAATATATTTAGAATAAATAATTTATTCAACTTCCTTTAAATTCCTAAATTATTGCCATATTAGTATATCATCAACATAGCAAATTATTAATGTTATCATTCAAAATATACGACATTATTATTTTAAAAAGAAAAAAAAAATTCAAAATAATTCAAAATAATTCAAAAATCATATAGTAATCAAAGAACAATTTTGCTCTAGATTTTCTTTATTTCAAAGTTTTAAGTTTTTTTTTTTATTTTCTTTTAAAAGATTTTCCTGTAGTTAAAACTAAAATAATATTAAATAATTATTTCAAAAAAAGAAAAAATAAATAACACTTATTGGAAAGTATTGGCCATTTCTTTAGTGGGCCTTCTTCTTGTCCTTTTTATCTTTCTTATCCTTTTTCTACCAAAGTAAATAATAAATTTTAGATATACATTTATTTATTTATTCTTAATAATTTATTGCACAGTTATAAAATCTAAAATAATATTTTACCTTTGTCTTCGGTTTTTCGACCTTTTTAACTTCTTTAACTGATTCTTTTTCCGTTTCTTTTTCCTTCTCTTTTTCCTTCTCTTTTTCCTTCTCTTTCTGCTTGCCTTTATCTAATTTTTTCTTTACATCCTTTTCTTCTTTTGGTTTTACTTTCTCAGCTTTCTCTTTTTTCTCTTCAGAAGATTCCTTTGATTTCTTGGCTTTCTTGGCTTTCTTTTCAGATTTTGATGTTTCTTTTTCTTCATCCTCTTCAGTTTTCTTACGTTTTTTTGAAACTTTTTCTTTCGGCTCAATAACATTTGTTGATGTAGCTACTGTATGATCAGATGCTTTCTTCTTTTTCTTTTCTTTTTTGTCCTTATCCTTACCTTCCTTAGCTTTTATTTTTTTAGGTGGTTGTTCCTTTTTTTGCTCAGCCTCCAGTTTTTGTTTCTTCGCCTTCTTTTTCTTGCTTTTATCCTTTGATTTGTCATCGCTTGGTTTGTCATCGCTTGATTCATCACTTGATTCATTATCACTTGATTTATCGTCTTCTTCAGACTCTTCTTCGCTAGTCGCATCCTCACTTTCTTCCTCAGCAGATATATCTTCAGCTTTACGTTTTATGCCAACAGTACTGACTTCGGCTGATTTACTAGAACCTGCTACACCATATTCAGCTGATTTACTAGAGCCAGCTACGTCAGCGGAGGGATTATACGTAGGTGCAGTTCTATATTATTTCCGAGATCAAAGAAAAAAAATTTTTATATTATCATCATTATGATAGGAAATCACACTACTACGTAAAAAAACTTACGAAACAAGCTTGAGGTCAGTCTTTTGTTTTTTCCCTTTATCTTTTTCTGTTTTTGTTCCAGAATCACCATTACGTCCTTCTAAGATTCGTATTCTTTTTTCAATCTGTTTACGATTTGAATGGCCCATTTCTGCTTGTACATCCTTTTCTTCTGATAAAGCATCAAAACGAGTTGCAAGTGAAGATTTTGTGGCGACCAGCCTAGCTACCTATTACGTAAAAAATTGTAATAATAAAATCATTAAAATTAATTTATTATATTGAATAAATTTAATGTTTATTCATTATATACCTTGCCTTTATTTTTAGGAGCTGCTTGACCAACCAAACTAGCATGGTAAATTAAGCCATATTTAGGCGTATTATTTTTTGTTTTTAAAGCTCTGAAAAGAGCCTTTTCTGCACCTAAAATCTGTACAGTACTAGCTGGATGTTTGGCAAGATTAAGCAGACTTCCCGAATGTGCAATCAATCTGGCACCAACCAATTCGCCTACTATAGTTGTCAAATTTGGTGCAATCGCCAGCATCCGATTTTTAAGGTATTCGTAAAGTTCTGCACGGTATTCAGTTAAGTTGATTACTTGTTCGCATCCCATTATAATATTATCAATATCTTCTCTTGAAATTTCGGATCCCATGGATATTTCGGCTGCTTCTTTCAATTCCTTTTCTAAATCTTCTGGAAGTATTTCTGAAAGATCTGTTGTCTGTGCATTAGATCTGAATCCTATCAATATACATGTATCAGATAATTTCAAAATTAATAATTAATGATCGCAAGTACATTCCAACGTAGAATCTACGTACCCATAGTTTTAATTACTTTTGCATATGCCAAATTATCAACCACAATTTTTGACATTTCTGGAAAATGCCAACCATACCATTCTTTAACTCTCATCGCGTAAGTATTTAATTCTTTATCCAAATCATCTAACAAACCAATTGCTTGAATGATCATATTATCAACTTTATCCGGTGAAAATTTCAATTTATGGCGAGACAAGGAATGAGAAAGACCCAAAGACATCTGACTTATATCATCAGATTTTATGCCGGTAATTAATGAATCAAGCTGTTGTTTAATTCCTCGATATAGTTCAACGACAGTTTCGTTAGATATAACCTGAATACCAAATTTTTTGCTAATAGTGGCACCTATAGATTATTTTATTACAAATATGAAGAAAATAAGATTATTTTGACGCGTAAGTAATTACTATAACCGATAAATTTCATCAATTATAAAAATTCGATTTAAATTATTACCAATTTTTGGTTCCATAACAGCAAGCTTTTCGCTTGATACCTCTATTTTTTCAAAAGATTCTTTCAAAAACTTTTTCAAATCTTTTGAAAGTTTCCCCTCTAAGAGATCACTAACTGAGGCTACTGCTTCACTCATGTTTTCGAACTTTTGGAAATCAACAAGTTTTACGCTTAATAATATGAATTAATTAATATAGTGAATATACTACAGGTCACGAAATCCACAACTTTAAACTTTGAAAAATACGTACGTTTTCTTGGCCGCCTCCGGTGTTTCAAAATCTTTCCATAGTTCATCTGGTTCTCTTAATTTACCTTCTTTTAACACTTCAAACAGCGCGTAGCCGGCTGCTGTTTCGAAAAGAACGAGCATTAATATTATTCTTAGAAGTGCCTCTAGAAAAAAAATGGGCAATAATATGCAGAATATGAAGAATATGAAACAGAACAGAATTAATGAAATAGTAGTATTCACGACAAAAAAAAAAAAATTAATTTTTCAATCATCACTAGATGAGATTATACAGAATTACAGATTGACCGTCTTCTTTATCATCACATAAAAATTAAACAATAATATTGTAATAAAATAATCTGAAAATTAAGATAAAGAATGGCCCGGCTGGCGTAATCGGATAACGCACCAGACTTCTAATGAATGTAAAATTCAGTTGGGTATCTGGGGATTGCGGGTTCGAGTCCCGCGTCGGGTACAAGACGGATTCATTTTTTTTTCGAATAAGAAAATTGTATTATATCACGAAAATTATTTTATTTCACGAAAACCGTTTTACTCAATAATCTTTTCGAATCTTGCTTTTTAACGAGTCTATATTTTTCCTTTTTCTTTTTTAGATTTTTTGATAACTAAAAGTTTTTTTCCAAAAATGAGTAGCTCTTCTAACGCTCCCACTGAAGAAAATACAAATATGTCGTCATCGGCAAACATTACCCCACAAATCCACTATGAACTTTTACCTCAGAGTGCTCTATTACCAGAAGAGAATCTCTCACTTCCAGATACAATTAGACTTTTAACTGAAGAAGGAACTAAAGCTTTTAAATTGAAGGATTACGAAACGGCAGTGCTTAAATACGAAGAAGCTTCTCAACTTGCGTATGTATCTGATGCTTTTATAAGACTTTATGACTTTTGACGCGTAATCTGAAGAAATAATAATGAAACACTAATAAAATAAAAGATAAAGTCAATTTAAAAAGAATTCTTTTTATATTAATTGTCGATACTTAAAAAAAAATTCTCTCTCCTCAAGCGAACTGCACTATGGTAATTCGGAAGAATTTGCCGATGCTCTTTTTAATTACGGAAAAGCGTTAATTGAAAATTCAATATTTCAAACCTCTGTACTCGGGGACAATTCATTAGAAAAACGAATTGCGTTAGAAATTCAAGAAGGTTAAAGATAATCTTTTCGTATCGCCCTTTTTATTGTAACATTTTTTTAAAAAATTCTTTTTATTCGTCAATTATTGTATAGATGAGCTTCAGCATAATAATTCTCATATTTATTTCGAAGGAGAACCTAGTTTTGAAGATGAAATGGTAGAAGAGCTAACTGAAGAGAGTTTAGAGAAAGAAATTAACAATAATGATGGTGAAAGTCATGCCGAAACAACAAATGAATCACAAACAGATCAAGATAGTGATTTAAATGTGGCAAATGATGTTTTGATTATTGCTCGAGATATCTATTTGGATGTTGGCACTGAGAGATCAAAAGCGAGCCTTGGAGAAGTATTCATGAAATTGGGAGATATTTCCCTTGAACAAGGTAAAAAAAGTTATGGATAGTAACTAAATAAATTTTTTTATTAAAAAAAAAAAAAAATATTTAATTAATTAAATAAAAATTTTTTTTTAAAAAAAATTAATATATAAAATTAACTTAGAAAACTTCGATCAAGCAGTAGTTGACTATAGAGAAGCAGTAAAAGTAAAATCAGAAAGATTATCAGATGATAATATGGAATTAACAGAAGCATATCCTTTTACCTCAAGATTTCATTAGTTTTACTTTAACACAAAAAATGTGATTATATCCTTGACCTTTTAAAATACTCATTGGAGATTGGCTTTAGCTTTATCTGCAAGCACCGATAAAAGCCAAATTGACCAAGCTATCGAACATGTTGAACGAGCTATGGAAGTCTTAAACAAATGTAAAAAGAATTTGTTAGAAAAATTAGCATCAGTTCAAGAAACTTATGGTAAAGGGAAGCAAGTGGCTAAAAGTGATGATAACACAGAAGACATTGAGAAAAAATTGAATGAAATTGATCAATTTCTTATAGAAATGGAAGCCAAGGTATCACTTCTTTATTTATCTATTTAATTTCATCATTTTAAATTTTATTAACCTATTTCCTTCCGAAAAAGATCGAAGAGTTAAATACTGCAAAAATCAATCGTGACAAAGAAGTACCGACACCTAGCGAAATAGCACTTGCTGAATATGTTAAAATGTTAACCCCTTCAGCTGAATCTGGTAGTACTACAAACGCCGGATCTTCATCAATAACATCTAATGTACCCATAAATGATATAACATCTTTAATCAAAAGAAAAGTTGTTGAAGATATAAAGAGCATCGATGAAAATTTAACAAATACTACTACAAATGAAAATAGTGTAACAAACACAATGATGGATGAAGGAGAAGAAAAGAAGCGTAAGGTAGAAAATTTAATTGATGAGACAACTAGTGAAGGGAGTGGGGAAGGAAGATCTGGAGAAAATGATGAATCTAGTCCAAATAAGAAAGTAAGATTGTCAGGATGATAATATTACCTTATCTCTTTAATCTCTAAAGCATTGATTTTGTACCTATTTGTAAAGAATATGGTCTCTGATAATAATATTTTACATTACCAATAATCGCCAAAATTTTATTGAAAGAATGAATTTTGCACTTATCTATTATTTTCTTTATAATTGGTATTAGAACTTAATATGATAGAGCTATTATAATACAATCAATATACATAGGTTCAAATATTTTAATTTTATCATCATTATTCGTGGTGCCTTGGGGTGTGGTATGGGCTATTTAGTAATATTATATAACATTTATTATATTAATTATATCTAGCATTAGTGTTTTATCGCTTTTTTTTACACTTTATAATTTACATAATATAAATATAACCTAATCAATTATTATAAAAAGAGATTTATAATATACTTGCCTTTATTTAGCAACGCAATACCATTTTAATAATAAATTATCAGTACCAACTACAAATTTATCACCATCAGGACTCCAAGATATGCAAGAAACCTTATATTCAAAAAAAAAATAAACTTTAGTATTTATCATAGTTTTACCCATTTAAAACGGAAATCTAGTTACCGTTTCTTTATGTTCTTCAATGGTATCTACAACTTGTGTTTTCTCATTCTTTTCAGGAAGTTGCCATAATTTAATTTTACAATCAGTTGACCTAATATAATAATAAAATAATAAATAAAATTTTTTTAACATTAAATAATTCGTGTAAAAAGACTTTATTTTTACTTACCCGCTTACGAAATGTTTATTATCACTAGCAGCCGCAACACACATAACGTATCCTTCATGTCCAGTACATTTTGATATTTGATTACCATGTTTTCTATAAAATTTATCCAAATCTTAAATAATATACCAAACAAATAAATATAATATACTACATTAAGCGAAATTATGATATTTACACATCATAAATGTTGATGGTCTCGTCATCAGAACCAGAAATTAGATGTTTTCCATCTGGAGTAAAATCCAAACAACGTATAGGATTTCCCGAATGTCCAGTCAATTTGTGAAGAACTTTTGCACTTTCCACGTCAAACAAATAAATTTTGTCGTTATCAGTACCAAGTGCCAAAATCTTATTATCAGGACTCTTTTAATTACATCATAAATTTTTTCATTAAGAATAATTGATTCTGTAAATTTTCCATTTTAAATAAAATAAATAAGGATACAAAGCGGCAACATAGTCCATATTTTCCCTCGGATGTATAAGTTGCAACGATTTCTTCTAGATTAGAATCTTTTCTGAGATCAATAGTTCCATGCTGTGAAGCAGTAGCAAAGTAATTTCCATCTTTATTATATTGACCACAACAAACTTCTCCTATAATGTAAAAAACTGTTTAGTTTTTTTTTGCAAGTAAATAAAAATTTAATATAAGTTATTACCTGGCTTGGTCTCTATGTCGTTTATCAGGTTGCCTTCTAATATGTCCCACCTTTTAATAGTATTATCGAACGAAATTGATATGAGGACTATATGCAAAAAGATTAGAAATAAATTAATGATAGAAAAAGATAAAATAAAAGTAACAATAGTAATCTCTGTTTTACTTACCTTTACCTGTTGGATTTATATCTAAACCGGTAACAGCTAATATATGACCCTCGAGAGTACGATAATGTTCTCCAGATTGCGCTTCCCTGATTCAAGTATTCTTTAGAGTCATATATATATACACATACACATACATCCATTTTTTTTTTGCGACAATAAAAAAGATGCAAACCAGATTTTAATCTCATTATCCAAACCTCCAGAAGCGACCACATTACCACTTGGTGACCAACGAACCGACCATATTTGTGATTTATGTGCTACATTAATATAAATTAAAAAGAAATACCTGTGAATTAGGGGAATAAAGTATAAATATTTTCTATTTAATTTACCTTTTGGTTTTTCAACGAAGGATATAAATTGTAAACTCTATAATAATGAAATAAAAAGATTTAGATAAAGGGGAAAAAATATTGATAGAGATAGAAAATAACGTTTGTAAAGCAAAGAAAAAACCTAGATAAAAACTACTCGCCATTATTGAAATGCGTCTTTATTAAATACGAAAAAAAGAAGAAAGATTTGGTAATTTGAAAACAATTGAAAATCTAAAATTCGAGAATCGAGAGTGCGGATCGATTTTGATTGCAGATCGGTCGGATTTTGAGATCGATTAGATAACCAAATTTAGTTACGAACTTAACCCACGTGTATGACTTCTACACTATAAGGTCCCACTTCTAAAGAAAAAAATATTCAAATAACAAATAAGTTATCTTCTTTATATATTATTATTTCTCTGTTAGTATATTCGTTTATAAAAGCAGATGGAAAATGTGGATCTAACATTTAGCCAACAAATAGATTCGATAGATACAAAACTCGTTCAACTTCTTAACGAACGTGCTCGTGTATCTTTGAATTTAGAGAAGGCAAAAGAAGGAAGGTCCGTCAATGAAAAGTTTTAAGCCAATTGCACCAACATTAATTGTATTAAAAGCTATCAATTTTGATTTTGTTTATTACAGTTATGAAGATAATGAAAATAATGAAAATGTCTATGTTTCCGGAAAGGAAAACCAAATTTTTGATAGAGTTAGTTTATTAATAATTTATTAAAAACGTTTATTGTATTATAGTTACTAACTAAATAATTTGACCAAAAAAAAGATTCATCGTCTCAATAATGGTCCGCTTTCATCAGAATCTCTTGTTTCTATCTACAAAGAGATTATATCTGCTTCAGTCTCATCACAGAAAGATTTATCTATTGCTTACTTTGGACCACTAGGATCATATACGCACCAAGTATGTTGTTGTTCTATTTGAAATATTCGTTATTTTGTTTGTTTTGTCCATTAATCGTAATTAATTTATAGGCGGCAATTGTAAGATTTGGGGACAGTATAAATTATCTCCCAAAGTCCACCATAAATGGTACATATTAAAATTAAAATTTTATGATATAGTTTTTAAGCTAATTTAATTATTACATTATAAAGATATCTTTGATTCTGTGGAAAAGGGTCATACTACTTACGGTATTGTACCTTTTGAGAACTCAACATATGGATCAGTAGTTACAACCTTAGATAGATTCATATCTTGTAAAACACATATACTGGCCGAGACGTATTTGAGGGTATTCACTTTAGATATTTGTTATTAATCTAGTAAATCTCTTCAGTTTGACTAATGTGGTAAAATAATTTTTATAACTATATTTGTATTCTTAAGATAAGTCATTGTCTCCTTTCAAAATCCAAATTCTCTTCTATAAATAAGGTGTATAGTCACCCACAGGTATGCTAATCAAATGATTACTTAAGAGTATGTTATCTAAGAAATATTATAATCATTTTATGTTTTTAGCAATTGTTTATTTTCACTTAGGGGTTTGGACAGTGTCAGAAGTACCTTGACTCACATCTTAAAGAAGCTCAGCGCATTGATGCATTATCCACAAGCAAAGCTGCAGAAATTGCTGCTTCAGAACCCTATTCTGCCGCAATTGCCAGTATAACATGTGCTGAATTATATGGATTGGAAGTACTAGGGAAGGATATACAAGATGCAAAAAGTAATAAAATTGACATGTTCTTAATTTTTGATATTGTTTCTTGCATTAACAATTCTTCAAAAAATTAGATAATGTCACGCGATTCTTCATCCTCGGATCTTCTTCTGAAAAACCAAGTGGTAATGATAAAACTTTCATTCTTTTTACAGTAGATCACCAACGACCTGGAGCGTTATGTGATGGTTTAAGCGTTTTTAAAGATCACGGTATCAATCTATTGAAGATTGATTCGCGTCCTTCTTCGCAACAACCTTGGCATTATGTGTTCTTTGTTGAATTACAAGGACACAAGGAAGATGAAGTGGTGCAGAAAGCATTAAATAAAATCAATGAATTTTGTTTGGACGTAAAAATATTAGGAAGTTATCCTGATCAAAGGCCCTCTTAACACATCATTTTTTGATAGCTTTAAAAAAAAAGTATTATTTATTCTAAATAAAACACATTTTAATATACATTTCGTTATAATCACGTGAGAATAAGAAATGATGAAAATAATTCGTTTAAAGATCAGCTAAAGCAATGCATCTATTAAGGGTAACGACATGTTATGCAATTAAATTGCGTACGGCGTATTTACTGATTCTGATTGTTGAAAACAATCAAGATTGCATCTTCTATTAGTCGGTCTGGATTCACGACCATCGCCAAGAAGGACTTCATGAACTTGCTGAAGTTGATCGATTTCAGAAAGTTCATCCGAGAACTTTTGCAGGAGGAGCTGCGTAAATCTACGTCCAAAACCTTCATCAAAATCAGAAAATACTGTGTAATGAGCTTGGCATTCAATGATAAAATATTTAATTCAAAAAAAAATTCTTAGAAAAAATATATGAATAAATTTCAATTTTGTGACTTCATGAAGCAAAAAAAGTTTAACTCGGATTATATTCTTCAAAAGGTTATTATTCTTTAAACCACTTGATATATTCAGTCCAATTTACAGAAGACTTAAAACTTTCACTTACTTTTTTCAGTTGGTCTTCTGGAGGAAATTGAGAATAAGATATTATTTTAATTTTATGTAATTATTTGAAAGCTAATTATTTATCATTATATATGTAATTTATATAATATATAAATAATATAATTATTATACAATAACTTATTAAAGAAATACATCACCTTCATATATTAAGTCATCGGCAAATTAAACCTAATTAAAATAAAATTTCAAACAAATTTTACACCTAAATCCTAATAGAGATTTTTAAAATATAAGATAAAGTTTATTTCAAAAATACCAATCTAATAGACAAACCAAAGTAAAAAAGATTAAGCTTATTATATAATGACATAATAATTAATATTTAAATACAAAAAAAAGCAATATGTTTAAAGAGATATATTATAACTCTTTCTGAATACATTATAGGTAGAAATTTTAATATACTTTTAATTTAAGATTGCTGAAGAAACTGTTTTGGAAAGTTAGTGAAATGCCAAAATAATGAAACTTTGTCAAAACTATATGAAAGTCTTATTAAAAAATTGGTGAAACTTTAAACTTGATGAAACTTATTATAAATGGCAAAACTGCCAAAACTTTACCAAAACTATAATAAAACTATAATAAAATCTTAGTAAAACTAATCGTAGGATTTTGGAGAAATTTAGGTAAACAATCTTACTTTTAACTGGTATTTTTTGTAATAAAACATTTGAGTAAAAAAATATAAAAATTAATTTATCATCTAATATCAGAATTTAAAAAAGTAGTATTTTACCTAATTAGTAATTTTAATCCTTTACTTCCTATATGATTAAATTCTAATTAGTTAAAACATATATATATATAATAAATATATTTATTATATTATATATAATATAAAATAGAATTATACAATTATTTTCATATCTAGTGATCCAATTTAAATATTTTTTTGTAATTTATTTATAACTTTCTTTAAGCTATACAATATAAAAAAAAAATTCATTAAAATTAATTTACTAAATGTTAAAATAATTGCAAAAAACTTTTATTAATAAATTATTATATATGATATAATATTTATAATGGGTATCTTTACAAACTCTATAATTGAGATTAGGATTGAGATAGGGATTAAGATTAGCTTGAGATTAGAATTAACATTTCAATTTTAATTCACATAAAATTCAGATTAGGATTACATCTGCTAGTTAAATTTGTTAATGCTGGCCAAATTGTTAATGCAAACTAAAATTTGTGTAATACTAAAATAAAATTTTTACTTTTTCATTTATAAGTAAAAATCCAATCACACTTTGCATATTTCAATTATAATCCTTAATTTTATTCATTGAGTAAGATTGAAATTTCATATATAATTTTAATTATGATTAGCTTGAAATTGAAATTAATCTCAATCATGTTTTTTGTGAAATCAAATTAGTCCTAATTTCAATCCCAATCTCAATCACGATTACTGTAAAGACGCCTAATATAAAATATAATTATACAACTATTTTTATATTTAGTAATCCAATTTAAATAATTTTTTTTAAAAGGGACTCTTCCTTATAGATCTTATTTTCAAAAATTTATATGAAAAAACAGAAATACAGTCAAACCTTGATATAGCGAACCCTTGATATAGTGAATTTTTCAGACAACTATAATAAATTTCCCCTCGCTATAACGAATTAACCAATCAAATCTCTTAAAATCTTCGCTATAACCTTATAGCGAAGTTGAAGTCTGGACCCTAGAGTTCGTTATAACAAGGGTTGACTGTAGTTTTTTGCAAAAAGTGTATAGGAAAAGTTAATGCAAATAAAAAAATATTAATATATTTGAAGAGTTTACACATTTAACTATTCAATTATATCAATAGTAGATATAACTATTGAATATTTTACTGAGAAAATTAAGAAAGAAGTTATTGTACAACTTTACATTTCAGAAGTAATGGTCTTTTTACAATAAGATATCAAAAAAATACTGAAAATATTTTTGTTTAAATAAAACTACCTTCTGTTAAACCTCCAATTATAAAAATGTAAAAGAAAATAATAATATTTTTGAAGTATTGTTGAATTACTGCTGAAGTTGTTTGAAAATAAAGCTATTACCATCATTGCTCTTAAGGCTTTTAAACAATTCTATTTAAATATTAGATAATCAGAATCAATAAATTTAGCTAATAGGAGAAGTAGCAAATATGAACTTTACTTTGGATAATGATGACAATTGAATAATCCATCAATTGATAAATCAGATTTAACAAATATAATAATTTCTAATAATATAATATATCAATTATAAATAGTATAATATTCCATAAAGGAGCTATTTACATTTTCTCAAATTCCATTAAGATATAAATGCAAAAAGGAAAAATAAACTTAGTAAAAAGCTAAAACTGCTGATTTTTTTATTAATAAAATCTTTTTAGAATAGAAAATACTGTATTTGCAGAACTATTTAAATGATTTAAGAATAAGTGAATCAGTATCCAATATAAAATCAATTCTTATAAAAAAGAATAAAAAAACATAAAGAGTCAAAAATACTAAAAAGGAGTCTAAGATACTAAGTACATAATAACAAAATATTAACCAATAAAGACCAACCTTAGTTTATATCAATGATATTATAATATATAATATTTATTCAACTTGATTGAAAGTTTATTAAGATAAGATTATCTCTATTAAAATTATTTGGCAAAAAAGTATAATACAATTAAATTCAAATTGAAAATGTTTGAAGTATGTAAGTGTATTTGAAATAATAACTAATATCTGGATAAATCACTAGAAATATTCCAGTAAGATAATATTCAGTTATCTGGTTTAAAAAAAAAGAAAGAGATTTCAAGAATTCAAGTAGCTCTCTTTAATATACTGGACTTAATAACAGCTATTTCATTATTTTTTAACAATTAAACCCATCCAACTTTATTGATGATAAATAGTTTTAAAGTCTTTAAAGTTATTACTATAAAGAATCATAAGTATAAATTCGTATTTATCTTGAAAAATAGAAAGATTTCAACAATCTTATAAGAAAGAATTATAAACTTAATGGCAAGAATTTAGATTTATATTACTATGCTTCTTTTTGATTCATTAGAAAATCTAAAAATTAGTCAAAAATTAAAGACTTTTCCAAAGACTTTGATAATTTTTAAAAGAATTTTAATTTTAAGGATAAAGTTACAGGTACTAATAAGATTCCCATTAACTTTTATAAGTAGCAAAAATAAGATATTAAGAAGAAAAATAACATAAAAGAACCTTTCAAATTAAATAAGAAAAAAAAAGGTTCTATAATCTTTAAGTGAAAACTATATAAGGAAGTAATCAAATTAAAGAATGCTAAAAAAGTTAATAAATAGGATGTAATATCTGAAAGGCTGAACAGTCTATTTATTAAAGAGTTATTTTTTTTTCTAGATTAGATATTGGATTTTAATTTTTATTTGTTTTACGCCTAATATATCTGTAATATTGTTATTATTTAAATAAATAAAGAAAATATCAATTTTATTTTCTAAAAACTATATTAACTATTAAGAAATAAATTTGTAGTTAAAAAAACTCTATATTGTAAATATACTAAATTTTATTTAATATTTTTATAAAGTTTTTTTATAACTATTACAATTTGTTCATTTATTTCAAAATAAGCTTTCAAATATTTTTTTCATATCAGCTATAGATTTGAAGTTGAAAAAGCAATCCAAAGTTATATTTTTTAAATTTCAATAGTTTTATAAAGTTTTTATTTAAAGTTTAGCAAAAAATATATATATATTTATATTGATATATTGTGCTATTAGTATAAGGTTTCTGTGAAATTTTCTTCCCAAAAATTTTGGTCTAATAATTGTTGAAAAGAGTTCTCAATTCTAAGATTCAATATTATTTTATAATAATATTAGCATTAATTTTTATAAATGTATTATATATATTATTAAATAAATTATCTAAATAAATTAATTAATAAATTATTATATTATTGATTTTTTTTAAGTTTAATTATTATTTATTATCCAATTTTTATTACTTAATTTATTAGAAAACTATTATTTGTGCTATAAAAATTGCAATTTTTGCATTAGAATTTTGGGATTAAATATCATGTAATTAAAAAACTAACCAATCAATTTGGGTCAAAATTTATATTTTAATAGATTTAATATTATACTATTTATATTTGAAATTTCACTTTAAAATGAGAGTTGTTTTTTGCAGGGTATTATATACATGGAGAGATATAGCAAAATGTAATTTTAGGTATGTTTTTTTATTATCCAATAATAAAATAAGCAGATTTTGCATTTAATCCACGTGAATAAACATGTTTGATCCATTTTAGGATATAATAGTGCACTCATTTTACCAAACATATAAATTTAGTTTGATTTAATTTTTTCCCACAACTCTCTTTTCTCAAACTTTTTTTCGAGTTTTGATAACATAAATAATAAATAGTGAAAGAAACTCTAAAAAACTTCACGTAAGTTTGTATTCAAAGACCTTTTTTACGCGGCATAAAAACGCGCGAAATGACATTCACTGCGCCACTATTAATGATATTCATTTTTTGTGTTTCAAAATAGATAAAGGATGGAATCAGATACGAATTCAGTAATTTCTGTGGAACATGAATCAATTCCAACCACACCGGTTCAAACAAACGCGGCAGAAGTTACTGGGGACGAAATTATCATCGGTTATAAATATTACGTAAGATTAGAGAATTATGCGGATTCCGAAGACGAAATCCAATATCGTATTGGAGAAGTTTTATCGAATCGAGTAAATTATGAAGGAAATCGAGAATATTATATTCATTTTATTGATTTTAATAAAAGACTTGATGAATGGGTACCAGAAGATCGGATAGATACAAACGCAACTGTTATTATTGAGAAACCAAAATTAGCAACACCAAAGAGATTAAACATATCTTTAGAAGATCCATCAACACCACCACCAAAAGCTTCATCATTGTTAAGAGAAATGGGTTACTCAACACCGCCCGTAACGATACCAGCATATGAGTCACCCGGAAGTATTACAAGTGCAACATCAACATTTAATGAAGAAAGAACAAAAGGAGAAGCAGTTGGAGCAATGAGTTGTAGGCCGAATAAAAGACGTGTTAAAAATTTGCAAGAAATTCATTTTGGAGAATTTTGTATAGAAACCTGGTACTTTTCGCCATATCCGGAAGAATTTAATGATTCACCAATAATTTATATTTGTGAATTTTGTTTAAGTTATTTTATAAGTGAATTTCAGTTACGTCGTCATGTTAGTAAGTGCACTATAATGCATCCACCAGGAAATGAAATTTATAGAGATGATGAAATATCATTTTTTGAAATTGATGGAGCTCGACAATCAACATATTGCCAAAATTTATGTTTGTTATCGAAGTTATTTCTTGATCACAAAAGTCTTACCTATGATCTATTGCCTTTTCTTTTTTATATTATGTGTAAACAAGATCAATATGGTTATCATATTATCGGATATTTTTCAAAAGAGAAAAATTACACTTTAAATAATTTAGCTTGCATTTTAACAATTCCTCCTTATCAGCGTAAAGGTTATGGTAGATTATTAATTTCATTCTCATATGAATTATCAAAAATTGAGGGTAGAATTGGATCACCCGAAAGACCCTTATCAGATTTAGGATTATTATCTTATCAACAATATTGGTATGAAACCATTCTGGAAGTTTTGTGGGATACAAAAGAAATTGGTGATGATTACATTACTATAGACGAAATTACTGCTAAAACAAGTATAACTCAATCCGATGTACTTTTTACTTTATATGAATCTGGTATTTGTGTTTATCAAGGTCAAGTTTGTATTAGATTAACTGAAGCTATGTTAGATACAAGTTTAAATTCTATATCAAAAAAACGTAGGATCAATATTGAAAATTTAAAATGGTCTCCTCCCCATTTTACTGCAAATCAACTTAGGTATAAAAATTAAATGAGAGGAAGAGAAATTTGGGAAGGAAAAAGTGAAGAAAATAATTTTGAATAAATAAAAAAACCTGTTAACATTTGAGCAATTATCTATTTATTGATTGAATTATTATATATTTAATGGATCTTTAGTAGTGGTCCTATTCGAGATTTTTAATTACTTTTTAATTTTACATCTCGTATTAATCTAAAATTATTTATCTCAATTAAATAAATAATCATTACTATCATTGCATCCTACTAGATAACAATAAAAAAAAAATTGATCTCTGTTAAAAACTTATACATAATTAATCTTCACCGGCTGGCACTTCTTCTTCAAGATATTTTACTAATTTAACTCTCATTTCAGTTTGATCATCACCACGTAATATATCACTTATAAAATTTGCTTCAATTTGCATTTGCACCATCTCCAATGATCCTCTTAATACTCCACATAATATATTTGAATACCATAATTCATCTGCTGCTCCATCATCCGGTAATTCAACAAATTCTGCTAATGGATTTTCCTCAAAAATTAACGAAAATTCTTTATTATTCGATGACCAATTCGTTACCGTTGGTGTAATATTTAAAAAAATTTTAAATCCAATCTAATAAGAAGTAAATTCAACCAATTTAATAAGATTTCTTTTACGATTTTAGGAAGATATATTATATATACCTTGGAAATTACTTCGGCTGTTTCACGAAAATCTGCACAACGTCCTAAACTTGCTCTGGCAAGAAAATCTTCGATTAATCGAACTCCTATATTATATCCCCTAATTAAACAAAAAAATTAATTGAATTATTTAGAGTTGAAACTAAAAGAAATTATCTTGACATAGATACATTTTTTCTAACTGCTTATTCACTTCTTGATAATCCTCATAATCCTTAACAAGTTGAGCTACGACTGAACCGTAAGTTAAAGTAAATAGTTCAGCATTCTATTTAGTTATATTTTGTTAGTATTAATATAGCTTTTTATAAAATACAGGAAAAAAAACTTATTTCCGGAAACGTTTACAATTTTCTCTACACGATTCTTCCACACTTCATCGCCTATTTGTTTATATTGCTTATTCATAATATTAAACGTTTAATAATTTAACAGTTCAAAGAAAAATAAGGTAAATTAACAATATTTAAATTTTGAGCAATTTTATTGGCTTTTGCGTTACTTTTTTGATTAGCGGAACCCTATTTAGAAGGTGAGGCGAAGTTCGACTTGACACACGTGCACATATTTGTCAGTTTTCGATTATATTTATAAAAATAATTATATGTTTTATTCCTATTCTTCGGAAATAGCATCATGTGGAACAACGCCCTGATTTTCCGTTAAACTACCTTCGACAATATAGGTATAAGGTCCTGATTTACGCTTCTCCGTTACTTCATATGCCAAAAATAAATTACATCTTGGACAATGTAATCTATATTGTTTTTCATATCCATCGGATCTAATTGCACGCTTGTTAAATATTTTATTAGGAAACACTAAGGAAAAAGAATTTTTTTATATTTAACAAACCTTTTTAGAATAACTGGATTTGGCGCTTCAACCGCATTTAATTTATAAACCCTCTTTCCATTAGAAATAATATAAGCCCTGTCTGTTGTACGTCGCGGTAATCTTTCTAAACGTGCATCTAAATTTAACGAAAGCTTTTTCTTAAAAAACCGTGTTTTTATTAAGTAAAACTCTAAACAAACGAAATACTATTTTTTTTACCTATAACCAATATAAATTCACTACACAAGCAATAATAAACGTGAAGATGTTGTTCGGGATTTGCAACGAGTTGTTCTGAAGAAGAGACTGTTGAACTTGATACAATCTTTGGCATTATTTCTAAGGACTAAGGAATCATAGAAACAATGAATTTAGTGAAACATATTATATGTGACTTGCATAACAAAAGATGTGATATAAAATTTTGCAAACTAAATATCACTTTAAATGAACTTAATATAAATGCATGAATGGTTTGCCTTTATTTTAAAAAAGATTTGATTATTTTAATTATTTTTAAAATCGGAATCATAATAAAGTGACAAAACGATGTGAATTTTTTACAAGCTCTTTTAACATTGAAATATTGTATTGTATCGCAATAATGAAAAGAAAATTTTAAAATTTTAAAAAATCTGTAAAAATCTTACAAAATTCAAATATATGTATATAAAAAATAATAATAACAAAAAGAAAACTGAAAATAATATTTATAATTACACGGTGAAGGAAATAGAAATAAATAAATTAACCATCAAAACAAAAAAAAAACCAATAACTATATTTTTCAAAGATTAAAGGAATTTGACCTATCATTTGTTACTCAACCAACAAAATAATAATTATATATTACTTGTCTATATGGACTGTATTGTACTATTGCTAGAGCAACCATAACTAAAAGAATTAAAAACATAATATATTATAATTAACATTAAATAATAATTAATAAAAAAAAGGAATAAACAAAATATAACAAAACATACCGAATAATACTGGTACCCAGAATAAATACAACATTCTATCTTTCTTTAATCTTCTGTATTTTTCTTCATGATGTTCCATACGAGCAATTTGTTCCTCATTCAATTCACCAAAATCATAACCAACCTTACGACTAACACGTGAAGTATTAATAGAGGGTGATGGGGCACGAGGCTCTTCGAGCTCATGATGATACATTGGTACAACCGGTTGCTGAGATCCATTAAATGGCCAACTATAACCAAATTTACTAAATCCTGTGTTATCTTTCTGTTGATCAGATTGTGGTGGTTGACTTTGCCTAAGTAATCCACTCTTTTCATCCCATACAAAACTTGAAAAACCACCAGGTATTATCGTAGGGAAAGTTACTACTGGTAAAGTTGGAAATTCAATATTCATATTAAGCGATGGCATTGATGGTATGGAGGGTCTTGGGATTGATAAATTTGTGCCAAAAGTCATAGTAGAAAATTTTGGGGAAGAGAAATTTTGAAGGTTCGGTATTTGTAAATTGGGCATTTGAAGATTTGGCATTTTAATATAGGGAATATTAATCTGAGATGGTTTGCTTATATTTGGCATATGCATATGAGCAAATGTTTTTTGAAGCCAAATAGTAGAAGCAGAAGCCAAATCAGTTGCCATTTCAGAAAATGGCTGTTTAACATTCTTTTTATCGTCCTCAACCACTTCAGCATTCACGATTCCATCATCCTCATCCAAATTATTTTGTAACAAATCATTAGCAGTTATAGAATCTACCCAAGAAATGTTAGGTCTTATTTTATTTTTTTCACTACCACTGGTCTTCTCCAAATTTCTTTCCGGTCGTCTTTCACTATCCTCATTAAAGTCTTCTTCGCTGCAGCTGTCTTCATCGGATTCACCCAGTGAAGAATCTTCGGATGATGATGGTGATAATGATACTCCAGAATCGTGCAAACGATAATCATTGATAAGTGTAACAATATCATCGAAATTCCGAGAAATTGCAAGGTCAATAGCATATTGATCGTTGAAATTGGGAGTGATGTCACCAGAACCGACTACACAATTCGGAAATATTAATTCAATTCATCAAACTAAATAAACAATGTACTAACCTCTCATAAGCAATCTCACAACATCATCTTTTCCTGTCCACGCTGCATAGTGAAGGGCTAGTAAAAAGAACAAACAAATAAAATATTAGGCTAATTTTATAAATTTTCCGTTCCATAAAAAAATTCATACCAGTAAAGCCATATTTATCCTGTAAATTCAGATCAATGCCTTTATCAATCAGCACAGAGCATAATCTCGTGTAACCCAGCATAGCTGCTATATGTAACATAGTATGTTGTTGACGATTTTGTAACGAAATACTATTGTGTTCGGTCTCAAGCACATCCAATAAACCTATTGTTGTTATAATATGTGCTTCGAAATTATTTTCTCCCGTTTGAAGGGCAAGGGATGCTATATGGTTGTGCATCCCATTCATATTTCCGTTGCAATTTGAATGACCAGAATTATTATTGTTATTGTCATTGCCTCCGACAATACGCATAGCAATGTTACGAGCATCTTCTAATTTTCCAGTCATCTTCATTCCCACAACTTGCAGTGCTAATTCCATCAAAGCCCGATCAGAATCTAATAGTTTAAAAATTAATTATTTTTATCGTATGGTCATAATTTATTATAAGTAAATAAATCCTATAATATATTTAATAAAAGAATACCATCAGTGTAAGTAAAAAAGACCACTTCTTCCGAGTTATCCATCAAGGTCAATGGACATTCTTTGAAGCTTACAACAACTGGTCCTGGTGTTGGTGCCGGTGGCAAGACACAAACCAATGTATTCGGAGACCAATATTGTGTTGGAAGCGCCGGCGTTTCCCCGAAAACACAAGTAAGTCCCTCTAATAAATTGCAAATAAATTATATTGATGTTGGAAACGCCAAATAATCATTCAATATATATATATAATTAATTACAAACCAATAAAGTTGCTTCCTAAAATGGTCACTTCAACACCGCCATAAGTGGGGCCTTCGGAAGGAATCAACCTACTTATCCTTGGTAATGGGTACCCACTAATCGTGCCGTTTTGATAAATAGAATTCCCAGAAGTATTATAAAACGCCCTTCTCATCATTGAATTAGGATTATGATGCAACCGCATTGGACCTCCACCTTGATGAGACGTAAATCTGGGAGCACCAAGACTTTGATGTAATGGCGCCGTTTGATAAATAGAATTCATACTATTAATCGACGTGGGTGCCATGGACATATTCATCATAACATTTGAAGTAGCATTATTATTCACTACGGGAAAATTCACTTGTGAGCTTGAAGTAGCCAAATTAGCGCTCTGGTCAAGCTGTTGGTATGATTGATTAGGTGTGCTTGAAGTATTAGGTACATTAGATGTGATAGGTGTGATAGGCGTGATAGGTGTGACGGGCGAAATTTGTGAAATCGGAGATGTAGGAGACGAAGATGAATTAAATCCAAACGAAGGTTGAACTTGTAATTGTCGTAAATTACTGTTTTTTTCATGCTTAATCGTTGATTGTGGTGGAATCAAGCCAGAATTTTGTGTAGGTACTATAGCAACCGGGGAAGAAGGTCCCCCGCTGGGTTCTGAAGTAGAAGATGATGTAGGTTGTTCGCTAGATATGCTATTCGATAAAGATATTGCATGCCTTTCATTGACTTTGTTTTTTATAGAGTTTGTGGAATTGTTTGATGTTGTAGAAGCTCGACGATCATATTCAGCTCTCGGTCGTTTTCGTCCGACGCCAATCTTTGTTTTTGACGACTTGTGATCGTCTGTTATCATAATAGGTGGTGACATGCCGTTTGCGATAACCGTATTGGTATAATCTTTCATTACAAAATAAATGCTAGATGAAAAATTATATAATCATTTAATCAGTAATAAACCTAGTAAAATTATTGAGATTAGAATATTTTAATGATACGTACCAAAACCCGACCTTTTCATTGTGATGCCGACAATAACATGTTATTCTTGTTGGTAAGATAGTATCACCACTACTAAAATCTACAATTTCACTACAATTGAATAACAAAATTTTGCGCTGTTCTAATTGCATTGTTTTTTCATCATCTAAATCCATTGGCTTATTTGTATCATCAGCTGATGGTGCAGTACTTGAATTTACTTTCGCATTTTTATTTTCCTTTTTACGTTGTGATCTCTTTCGCTATAATAAATATGAATGACTATTTTTTTTAATCAAAATAAATCCTTAATATTACATATAAAATTATTTATTTCACACCCTACCTCACGTTGGACACAACCTAGGCAAGTGAGAACTTTTTTCGGAATATCACTCGCACAGACTACTGTAGCTTCTAAATTTAGGACCCCTTTTTCAGAAATATTCATTGCGTGATCCGGTGGATTTCTTGCATTTTTAGTTTTAAGTTTTTCTTTAGCAACCATATATTCGGGTAACCGTAAATGTGACCATAATGGTACTTTTTCTCCTTTATCTGTGACAAGCTGTAGGCATAATTTAATTTGAGTTTCCACGCGAGATTTAGCACCCGTCTGTGGGACTCCGAGAACACGAATCTGTAACCTAAATTTAGGTACAAGTTATCAATGATTACGTAATATAAAAACGAGTATTAACCGAAAAAAACCTAACCCTTTATCACTTATATCCTGCATTTGGCATGAACGATCCGATTGTGATGACGCAACACTCGTTTCTCTAAAAGAATACGTGTTAATCCTCCAAAATTACAAAAAAGTCAAAAAAAAACAATAAAAAATAAAAAAATAAAATAAAATAAAATAAAATATAGGACTAACATGCTATTATCCGATCCATTCATAAAATCTAAATAATTAACACCGCTTTGCGTAAAGCTCGTTATACCTTGCGAAAACGGCGGTGACATGAACTATTGAATGAATTAAAAAAAATCTTTATTTCTAAGACGATAATCCTTCTTTACATAATTAAATTATCGAAAAACTTTTTTACTGCAAAAATTGGCAAAATATAAAAATATAAGTACATTGTTTAGAGATTGTTGTCGGAGGTCACCTATAGTAGGCATTGTGTTAAAAACTGATTGGTGAACGTGATCTGTTTGTGCCGAAGGTTGTAGCTCTCTTGTTGGTGTTTGTTGAGGAGTTGTAAAGAAGAGAGGAGTATTTGAATCTAGTACTTCTAGCTTTGGATCCAGCAAAGTCGAAGGGTTATACAAGTTATTCATTGAAAAGTCGTCTGACGTAGGTGAATATGGAGAGTCACAATTATTTTCCTCAGAAGACGACGGCATATTATCCTGAACTAATAAAATTCGGTGTTATTTGAAAAAACAGTTCAAATAAATAAAAACTTTATTTTTGTTAATATGTACTTTTATGACGCATCTAAAACTCAAAGTTTTTATCTATTATCCAAGTGAGTTTAGCTATTATCTATTTTGAAGTATATTATTATCTTTCTTATTGTAATATTTTTTCTTTAAAAAAAAGTGTGTCAATTGGTCATCTGGCTTATTTTTTTTATTTATTTGTCGGACTTTTCTCGGTTACCTTGAAAATTTATAAGCGCATAATAAAAGGTCACAGATTCCCTTATTGAGAATGTAGCAGTCACATGGTATACAGTCTGAATTTGAGTCGTTAAAAAGAAATTCTTTTGGCAGATTGAGACTGAAATGAGGATTGACCTAGGATTTTCATTGTTTCATGCCTCCATAGTTTGAATATATATACATTTTTTTTTCTAATTAAACACAATTTACAAGGGTTACTAACATTCCCCTGAAAATCAGCGACAGAGGTTTTTAAAAGTTTCGACAAGGCTGATAAAACTTTGCGAGAATAAAACACTAGCTGCAGTGCTGCACTAAGAAAGTTTTTTTTTTTTCAAAATGCAAATAATTCCACAACTTTCCGAGCCTCGTTATTTACAAAGAAAAATTCAGATTTGGAATGATTTAGGAATTTATACCGGTATCAACTAAAATTTCTAACTTTATATGTAACCACTAATGTTTATAGTCGATCATTATCAAACGAAAAAAAAATTTCATCATTGAGATAATCTGGCTGAGACATAGATCATCAATGTATGCTAAAATTTCAAACTGGCTGAATATTTTGCAAATATTCCACCCAAAGTTTTTGGTAAACTAATAATTTCGCAAAACAACAAAACTATACTTGAAATTCTCTCTTTTTTTTAAAAAATCAAATAGTATTGTCTAAACCAAATTTTGTTGACTGATGGAAAGAGGGTGCTCATATAATTTGCTTGAATTTAAACTGAAGAAATATATTTTGATGAGCATTGGATATACTTATGTTGAATGTAAAGAGTTCTTGTTAAAACTTTATTACAAGAGAAGAAGTCATTTTAAAATGATAAAAATTGGATATTAGTATAGCTTCTTAAGGTCTTCCAAATATTGTTCTCAAACAACAAAAAGGCTATTAAATTTGACTGTACAACTACAGCATGAGTTGAAAAATTTAAAACATTTTTATCGGATTTTTATTATATTTTATTATATTACACAAATGAGGATCTTTAGATTATCAGCCAGTTGAGCCTATAGTAACCAACTAATTATTTATAATAATGAAAAGAAATTAATTATTTTAAAAGATATCCGAAAATCTCTTTATCTAATAACATTGCTCTGATATCAGGTAAGGGCATTGGAATAGTGATTTCGGTTTCTCCTGAGCGGGTTTTATTCAGAACAAAAATTCCATGTCTATAATAGTCCTCTAAGTAAAGATTAAAAATTTTCCATTCATGACAAATCAAACTTTCACTGCAATAGTTAAAGAATTTATTTAAATTCATGCTGTTCCAGGTTGTACGACCCCTTCTTCTTTTGGCATCGACAATATGATTTGCCAATATATAAAACATTTCACGGCGGTGAGTGTTAAACGACAATAGCACAGATTTTGCTTCGTTTTTCTCTAACTTGGAATTTTGGCAGGTTTTCTCCATTTTCTTCTTGTTTGCTATCGGCCCCGAATGTTTAGTTGCTTCAGCCCTTCGACTCAATTTATAATCTCTATAGCTCGTTACTTCATGAGCATGCCAATTCATTTTATCTTCTTCAATAAAGCTCCATGTGGAAAAGAAGCTGACTTTCTCACTAATAGCAAGCAAATGGATATTTGGAATGTCGCTAAGTAAGATTAATGCAACTCTGGCCTCCCGATTTTCAAATAAAGGACCATCGATATCATGGATCTAATAAATTTTAAGTGAATAAAAAAAAATTATTATTTACTTATTCATTTATTGCACAATAACTATAAGGATATATTAAAAAATTATTTACAATTATTTTGAAAATTGAATTTGCAACAGTAACTTTAAAATAATCACGGATAAGCTCTGCCTTCCTTATCAAATCAAAATTTAAAAATACGTGTTGAGAGTCGAATAAATTCTCCAGCAACATTAAGTAGATAGAATCCAAAGTTGATAGGTCATCATTACCGTAAAAATGATTCCAAGTGATACTTTTGTTTTTACTGTGGAAAGCTTGATATTGTTCTAAAATGTGCTCTTTCGACCCAAATCCGTAGAGTAAAATGTTTTTATTTCTATTTAGCTGAAATTCCCATTGAGTGAAGTGTTTTGTAATAGATCTCTCAAGTTCATTAAGTTCTTCGCTGTGTCTCTCAGTAATAAAAGAAAACTCAGCTTTATCATTATGGAAGTTCGCAATATCGTAAGACATATTTCTTACTCTGAATCTCCTTTTCTGTGGGGCATTATCTTCAAAAAATCTCTCTGATCCAGTTAAGATATCTCGTTCGACCACCGGAACAGGTTGAATTCGACCCGGATTCATTTTTATCTGTCGGGAGACGGAATAATAGGAGGGAGTTGACACCCCTAAAACAGGACTAAGATTTTTCGAGTCAATCATTTTAGTCTTAAGAGGGACTTTTCCACGTTTAAACGTTGCAAGAAGAGTTGTCACAACATCTAATTCTTCTTCTCTATTTTGCGTTTCTTCGCCCCCGCTTTCCCCTGTAACTGTCTCCTGCTCCTCGTGTGTAAACTGAAGTTCTTTTTCTTCTAATAGTTGAACCGTTTCAGGCTCCTCCTGTTGTTGAGAAGCCACGAAAAAGGTTTTTGTTCCAGCCTGTTTTCGACTTCTTCGCGGTCTTTGCTTAATTCTTTCGCCTATGGTGCCTTCTTCAGAGGGAGAGTTTGAGAACGTCTCATTGCTCTCAAGAAGGGAATGAGGTTCTTTTTTATGAGATTTGCACATGTGTATTAAAGTTTAAACAGTTTATAGTCAAAACGCGTCACTTAGAACAACCATTGATCTCCTTTACTATTTATGGTCTTGAAAATCTCGTGATTTACAGCTTTTTTTACATATTTAATATCTTTATGTCACGGGAAGATTGTGTCACGAATTAAGATGAAATCAATCAAGAAATGAACTGTTTCCGATACTAATATCTATAATGCAGAGACAAAACAGACCGATTGGATCGTTTGGTTAATGACAAACTTTTTATTTGGTCACATGACTTGATTTTAAACCCAATTTGTGAGACACTAATACTGTTATGGATAATTTGATGACTCCGACGTGGATCATGAAATACTGTATGAATGCGTAAGCCACCAATTATCTAATAAGATGTAACTAAGCCAAATGGTAAATTTATCATAATAAATTTTTCAAATCAGTTCACTATCATCTATCCCATCGTTTATCCTAGCATTTTTCGCTGCGTTTTTTAAGACATTAAAAATATTGCTTTTTATGTTTGGGTGCGAGACATTTTACGACTGTTCAACAAAAAGTATTATACTTTTATTATTACCGTAAACTTATTTGCAATTATACTTTACCAATCTTGGCCTATTCTATTCATATTCAAGGTAATCTAAGATTTAGCGAAACTCAATAGGTTAATTTTGTGTATACTTAATAGTAAATCTCATTATAAATTATCTTTTAGTGCTAAATATTTCGCTCTACAAGCTCAACGATTATTACGAACAATATAAAACGATTATACACTATTTATTAGTCGTCACTTTCAGTCAGCTCTGAACTCATCCTGAATCGCCGAGTTCTAACATCATAAAGTTGCTATGACCAGTAAAGGAAATAGCAAAAATTCACAACGAAAGGTTAAGCAAAAGAAACAAAATACTGATAAAAAAATGGTTACGGTTGATAATCACGTGAAGATGACATCCAATATTGAACCGGGGTTGTTAAAACAAAACGATATTTCACCTGTAAAAGGGAAACAAAATAAATCTTTGAAAAAAGGTATAAAAAGGAAAGCTGAGGATTCTCATGCAATTAACGAAACCTTTCAGGTCTCAAACGCAGCTGTGTCACATCCGAAAATGTCACAAAAGGTTGGGTGTAGACATTTAGAAAAATATAAAGGTGATCGGCCAGATTACTTGGACAATTTCAAGACTATTGCAGAGCTATCCATGAGATGGTACAAAATCGGAATCCCCAGAGAAAATAAGATGCTTATGCACCAAAAATGTTCAGAATGTAGTCTCAAGGGAGATCGATTACACGCATGTCTTGATTGTGTGTTTATCGGATGCTGGCGTGGTGAAAGTCATGCCCGTAAACATTACAAGAACACCCACCACACCTTTGCAACTGATGTGCAAAGATTGGAAATATTCTGTTTTAGATGTGGCGATTATATATATGACATTGACTATGATAATGTCAAGAAACATGAAGAAGTCCGCGCCGAGGAGAAAGAGTCCGATATAAAAGAACCCGCACGAAAACGAGCACGATATGTCCCTTGGAGACCAACTGAAGAAGAGTCAGAAAGAATCAAAAGGAACTCGACGCCTTTTCCTTGCTCAGGCTTGAGAGGGCTTCTTAATATGGGTGCAACGTGTTTCATGAACGCTGTATTACAAACGTTCATGCACAACCCAATAATCAAGAACTACTTCATGACGGATAAACATAATAAGAATATATGCGGTACTTCAGGATGCATGTGCTGTGAAGTTGACAATCTTTTTCAAGAGTTTCATTCGGGAGAGAAGAAGCCATATCCACCATGCAGCTTCTTACAGTCTATGTGGCTTAGTTCTAAAGAGCTTGCCGGATATTCTGAACAAGATGCACATGAATTCTACTTGGCTGCTATTAATAAAATGCATGGGGACTCGCACGAGACTAAGCATCAGGAATTAAATGCCAACATTCAGAATTGTGAATGCATTATGCACAAAACTTTTGGTGGTTGTTTTCAATCCCGGATAAAGTGCTCTCAATGTGACATGTCCTCCGATCGAGAGGAGCATATGGTAGAATGGCAGTTACACCTTCGTGGGCTTGTTACCAATCAGAAGAAGAAGAACGGTACCAAAGGTTCGCAAGAATCTAATAGTAGTGAAATGGATGTTGACAAAAACAGTCTTGAGGACTGTCTCGATAGATATTGTGAAAAGGAACAGCTCCCTGGTTTTAAGTGTGAAGATTGTGAAATTCGCTTGCTGAATGAAGATGACTCATCTGAAAAAGCTAAAGATAGTGTAAATTCATGTTCGAGGACGACAACTTGTAAAAAATTACCTCCAGTTTTGACATTTGTTGTTGAACGATTTCACCGCGCTTCAACAAAAACAAATACTATTAAAAATGAGGCTGAGTTTGAATTTCCTGAAGAAATTGATATGGCAAAGTGGACTAGTCGTGGTCATGATGTTCTTGAAAAAGGAGGAACCCTGGACGATTTACCAAATTATAAATATAATTTACTTTCTGTTGTTAATCATGAAGGGAAAATAAACACCGGTCATTATACGGTGTATTGCAAAAGTCGTGACCGATGGTTCTTGTTTGATGATCACGCAGTAAAGTGTGCAAGTGTTGAGGAAGTTTTACAAAGCAAACGTAAGGCTTATCTTTGCTTTTATGTTGCTGATACTTTGGAGTACGATCAACCGAATATTAATTAAAGTCGACGGGATAATAATATTTCAACCAAACAACGATGGCTTGGATAAATTCTTATACTGAACAATTGTGACGGTTTTAACGTCAAAAAATTTTAATTTTATATTTACAATATTATTCCCTTTTTCTTCTTTTTTCTTTTTTTTTTTTGATATTGAAGGCAAGGATTAATTTTATTAGTAATAAGGTTCCTTGCATTAATGTTTTAATTGTAAAAATCCTGGATGAATTTTAGTTAAAATAATATTACAAGATTAGAATCAACTTTCTGCATATAAAAAAGGGCATTGTATGCCATCAATAAAAGTATTATATAATCTATTTTCGTTTCAAAAACACACATATAAAAGTACTATATATGCTAATCAAATTTGTCTATTCCCATTTTGTAATTTATATTATGGATTTTTAATGTATAGGACAATCCTAATGATGTGAATTTCTAAATATTAAAATCGAAACCATTTTAAGCTAACATTTTGGATCAATGAATATTGAGTATAAGTCTTTCCATTGATACAACTATTTAGAATTTCTGAAATTATAACTTTAAACATTTTAAAGAATTTATTATCAATTTTTATAAATAACTTAGAATCTGAAAATTTTTTTTTAACATGCTAAAATTTACAAAAAAAAAGGTTTCTTTAATATAAAATACAAACTAGAATTTGCAAGTAAATAAAAAGTTTTTTTTTAGTTATACTATTATTTAACATCTTTAATATAATATATATTATATTTTATTATACCATCATAAAATATATTAAAGTACATATTAAATATTTTTTAATAATAGAATATATTTAAAAAATACTTTAAAGTATTTATTTAAAATATCAATATAATATTTATTAAATATTGTATTATATTAGTAAATACTAAGCATTTTTTAAATATACCTTATATTTAATAAATACTATTATTCTATTAATAAATATTTGGCCCCATCCATTTACCTCAAAAAAATTTCTGTAGTACATTATATTTGAATATACTTATATAATAACTAAATCATTTATAAGATTTACTTGCGATTCTTTATTATAAAAAATGAGAAAATAAGCTGTTAGTTATAAAACAAAATAGAAATAAAATATAACAGTAAATTTAACATATTGATAATTAAAAGGTTACAATGGTCGCAATTTATATATAACCTATAAAAATAATTTGCAACTACAGCAGTAAACTTTTACTAATTCTCAATTTTACTCTTAATATATTCATCAACTATCTTTTAAAACTTTTCCATAATCTTTTAATGCCTTTTTTTCAAAATCATTTGTTAACATTTTGTGTATATATAATATTTTTATAGTAAAAGATTTGCCTAGACTTGTTAAATACTCATCTTCTTCAGAATGTTTATTTTTAATGGTAATGGTGCCACTACTCAACCAGGCAATTTTGTATTGACCATCATCATTTAAATCACTAATATTTAAGTCAATAGAATCACTTTGAGTTTTTTTAATTTTGGAAATACAGTCAAATCTTGATATAGTAAACTCTTAATATAGTGAATTTTTTAGACAACTATAATAAATTTCCCCTCGCTATAATGAATTAACCAATCAAATCTCTTAAAATCTTTACTATAACCTTATAGCGAAGTTGAGGTCTAGACCCTAGGGTTCATTATAACAAGGGTTGACTGAGGATCCCGCTTACTTATAATAAAGGTCACTGTAGAAAATTAGCCCTTTACTAATAGTTTTTACCTTACTTTTTTTTTTAAATTCTATTGGTTAATTAGCTAAAAAGGAAAAAAATCATAACAATATAACATAAAATTTTCTTTTATAGTAGGATTTGCAAAGAATTTTATATATGATTTTTACCTTAGGCCTGGGGTGACCTATCTTATAAGTAAGCGGGGTCCTGTTGACTGTATCTTATAATGCTTATTATATATTTTTTTTGCTAGAATTACTCTAGCATTTTCTAATTTTTTGTCGCCTTCTGCACCTTCAAAGTATTTGATAATTTTGTCTTTATATCCAGACCAAGTTCTACTTTTAACTTTAAAACGGAATTGACCTGATCTTAATTTTACAGTACATTTAGTTTTAAGATATTGTACTAAACTGAATGTATGATAATTAATTAATTTTATGACATTTGGATAAGATGCTTTGACTAAAGTCTAAATTTTTGATTGAAAAATAATGACATCTATGTTATTATCCATTTTAAAGAATAATTATGATACTAGAAAATAAGAAATATGAAATAATATTTATAATAATTTTTTGTAGTTATGGTATTATAAGATCTTTCAAGAGTGTTTCATATAAATTTCTCATTTAAAAATTATTATAACATATAAACAGCATTAAATGTAAAATTTTAATTCCTTTGGTAATCTTAAATTTTCAGCCTTTTCATGAATGGCTTTTTTTCAGCATATATAGGTTTGAATAAGTCTAAAATAAATCTAATATCTCTTAATTTATAGACTTTCACATGTGACTATGATAATATTTTGTGCTTATATATAACATTAAAATGTTTTTAATTGTTAAATACATAGGTCACATGCAAAGTTTCTTTACTAAAAATGGCCAATTTTTTGAAATGATTTTGTAATAATTTTAAAATACTACAAAAATACATTTAATACTTTTATTATATTTTTGCTATTATTTTGTAATTGTATTGTATCTAGGTCTATAAAAATAACTCAAAATAATATCACAATAATTTTTTAATGTTTTTGTTATTATTTATTATTATAATATAATTAA